TCCCTCCTGAGAGCAGGCGTTTGCAGCAGGGCAAGAAGAGTTCATCAGCCTTCGCCGGCCCGGATGAAATATCCCGGGAGACTATCTGATTACCTTTGCTCAGATGTCGCGCACATCAAAGAACCTTCTGATGACTGATTCCGTTCCTCAGGGGCCTTGATGTAGAAGCAGGGGCGTGCTCTGAGTAAGGAACCCAGGGTCACCAGGGCATCTGGCTCCTGGAACAATATGGGGAAGAATATGGCTCTTGATGCCTGAGGACATAATTGTGGCCCCACTAGTCACTGGATAAGGGGCCTCGACTAAAGCTCTTAAAACTCACTGGGAACCTCAGCTTCCGACCCTGTGAAACACAGCTACTAACAAGGACGTGCTCAGTGTAGTGGTGAAAATACAAGGAGATAGAAGAGAACAAAGCACTTTGGAAATGACAAGAGTGTGTACTGGCAAGCATCAATCGCATCACTCTCCCCTCCGCTCCCTCCGCTCCCTCCGCTCCGGGAACGCAGCCCTTCTTTTGACACCCAGGGGACCCCAAAGTCTTTCCCAAGCTTCCCCTCACACTAACCCTCCCTTCTCTTCTGCTCTTCACCTGATGAACTCTTAGTCATCTAATAAGTCTCAGTTCAGGGATTTCTCCAGAAAGGCCTTCTTTGCCCCGAGTCCAGTTGAGATTGTTTTTCTCTTTCATAGCGCCCAGCTCTTCTTTACTGTACTTGTCAGAGTGTAGAATCTTACATTTATTGGTGTGTTTCCTTATTTAATGTGTCTCTTACCAGCTAGAAACTCCATGAGGGGAGGCATGCTGTGGCTTTCACTTTGCATGGCACTCCTGGTACCTGGCACAAAATCGGAATTCAGTATTGCTTGCTGAATAAAATGAGTGTTATATGAATGTAATGTTATTATTCAATTCCCCCAACATAAATAAAAACATTGGCCTCTGTTTGCATCAAAGAGTTTGTACGCTTTGGGTCAATTAGTCCCACTGAGCTTAGTCAGTTCTGGGTGACTACATAACTCCAGGTTTGGCCCCGCAGCAGTGCACACTGACCCTGGGAGGCTGCAAGCCTCTTTCTTGCACGTCTGCTTCTGCGAGAATCCTGACACTCAGCAGGTGGGACCATTTTGTAGGGTGACTTTCCTTCAGATATCGAATTGACATAGTGGAGAGGACACTTAAGTATGGGACAGGTGGTGCAGGTGAAGGGTGAATTTCCCGATCTCTCTCCGTGGGCCTGACTTGCCAGAAATTTGTATAGGAAGAAAGGTGGCATGACGGAGCTTGGACCAAGCCATCTTCTTCCCATTTCTCCCTTAACTCTAGGACTCCTGTAAAAACACAGGCATTCTAAATTAAATTAAAACCCTCTGCTCTCCTTACTAGCCTCCTCCCCACCAGACCCCCAGCCAAACTGTCGTTGGCATGAATCTCTCTTCAGTTGAGAGGGCTCACGTCCCTGCCCTGCTTCAGATCCTTCTATGTTTCTCCATCGCGTGCAGGGTGACAGCCAAAGTCTCAGCACGAACAGGTATGACTTTACAACCTGACTCTTGAACTTTCCCGCTTCGTCTCCCTTCACCTTTCTCCTCATGCCCTCATTCCCAGCCTCCCTAAGCAGCTCACAAGCCCCCAGACACAGTTTTCTTATGCCCCTGCGCCTTTGCACACTTGTTCCTCCTCCAACCTTTTCTGCCTGGTGAGTTCCACTGGATCAGCTCAGAAGTCTCCTCTCCCATGAAGTCTTTCCTGATGATGGCTCCTCCTCCCCACCTCTGGCACCTCTTTCTGCTTCATCTCCACACTCCTCCTCACCAGACTGAGAATTCCTTGAGAATAGGCATTGTGTCTTGCTCATCATTGAATCTCCATGCTCAATATAGGGCCTCACAGAGACCCAGGCCCAGGGAAACACCCATCTTTGGGAGGTCAAAAGTCCAAAACAGAATAACTGGAGCCAGGTTCCAGTTAGGAAGGGAAAATGTCCCTTTCCGGGGTACCCAGCTTCTACCTCTCTTCTGCTTTTCCATGAGATTCCGCTTGATCCACACAGAAGTGGGTGATGGGGGCAAGGGGCAGGGCAGACTAAAAGGCATTGTCTCTTCCCTGGCTCCACCAAAGCGCATCTTCTCTAGCAATCAAAGGACAGTTGTGGGGCGGGGGGAGGGGGTCGGCCCCGTGGCCGAGTGGTTAAGTTCCCGCGCTCCACTTGGGGGGCCCAGGATTTCGCTGGTTCGGATCCTGTGGGTGCGGACGTGGCACCGCTCATCAGGTCATGTTGAGACAGCATCCTATATAGCAGAGCTAGGAGGACCTACGACTAGAATATACAACTATGTACCAGGGGTCTTTTGGGAGAAGAAGAAGAAAAAAAAGGACAGTGGGGAACAGATAAGTTAAAATGATCCTTGCCTTTGGCAAACAAATATTGGGTATTAACGTCTGGACCACTGAAATACTTTAACTTTACAAACAGGAAGTCCCCTCTGCCATTACCAATCAAGTGGTTGTTTTTAACAAAGCCGCATCTGGGACTATTTTTTGTGCCTGCCTAATGATCACATATTGTCCTTCTCTATCTCTACCTCCAAACCTAATGTTTCAGGCAGACCCATTTTATATAAGAAGATGCCCACTTGCATTAGTGTAAGAGGGAAGGGACACTCTGTGTGGCTGGAAGTATGAATGTGCTAACAGATTAATTATTTTAAGAGCACTCATTGAGAACTAGGCTTTAGAACTTGGTGATTGGCCAGGCTGACCATTTGGGAGGTCCTCAGTCTGCCTGGAGTTGTGCACTGGAGAGGGATGTGGTATATTTCACTAGAAGAAATTGAGACCTGGAATTATTAACCTCTTTTTGAGTCGCAGAACTCTGTGGAAAGCAAATAAAAGCTAATGATCTCTCTCCCCAGGGGTGTGTGTGTACACGCACATGTATGCGTACACATGCACGTGCACACACACACAGTTTTGTAAGCATTTTCACTGAGTTCATGAACTCTCTGCCTCAATGGACACAAAGGGTTAAGGATCTCTGATTGAATTATTATATATACGTATATATAGTAAATGAAAAGAAGATTAATGGCTTTATGTGTCACTAGTGTCATCCTCTCCAACTATGAGTGTTACCCAAAGAATAACTCATTGAATATCCATATTAAATTAACCTTCGAGTGTCTACAAATAATTAGCTGATTTTATGCCTCCAAAATTTACAGGAAATCATTGGTTAATTTCCTCTACCACAATTATGTTTTTGTAGCCCTTTGGTTAGAATGGTTAGAATTTCAGGGATATACATTTAGAATCTAAGTTGAAACAAACAAATGGGGGTGCGTGCTGAGTTTCAGGCATTTTTTGTTGACACTGACTCTCGAGCAAGCTGGGGAGTGGTGTGGCTTTCCTGTGCTGCACTGTTGTCTGGGCTTAGTCTACCTTTGTAGGTAATTAATTCCCCAGCCTGCTTATTTTTTCTAGTTGGCTCTTGTTTAGTTTCCACAGAGCCCCACCCCAAAGTGCTTTATTGTCCCTCTGCTGACTATTCCTACATATGGTCAAAATCAACTCACCTTCCGGGTTGCTGACATCAGCAAATTCACGGTTTGGCAAACTCTGCTCTGCTCCCAGTAACCCTTTGTTAAAGAAGTGTTATTACAACAGAGTGGATCTTGAGCTAACAAGCCTGCCCGGTCTCTTCCACTCCTAGACTTCATCCTAAGGAGAAACTCCTGTGTCTTTGGATTTACGGCAACAGGCAGGATATTAGCACTCGCAGACCTGTTGGGTACTAAAGGACTGCTAATGAGCAAACAGCCCGGCTTCATTTAGTGGTTCTTGAAATATTCCTGGATATCAAATTGCTTTTGCTGCTTGATAATCACACGAGCTCTTGGGATGGAAGGCAACCAAGCAAAAATTGTTCCCTTGTTGACTCCTGCCTTGTTGATCTCCTAGTTAAATCTATGGACAGAATATAAGTTTGCCATTTCCCCAGAGCTGAAATTTGATGTACACAGGTAATCACTGTGTTCGTGATTTCTCTCGGGAATCTTTTCTATAGTATCTAGATTACCATTTTTTGAGAATGACTCTATAATAAACAAAGTTATTTTAGAAACAAATTAAACTATAGGAGGATCCAAAACGGTAAACTGCTATACTGGCAATTTATCTAGACATAGGTGTTTCAGACAGACTGAGAGAGAGAGAGAGAGAGAGAGAGAGAGACAGAATGAATTAATGAAACTGGGAGAATGTTTCATGCAGATTGCAACTTCTGTGCTCTTTCTAAATTCTTTGCTTCTTAATTACCGAGTAACTTCAGATGGCAGTAATGTTAATCCTAGCAACTGAAAAGAAAAGCTTCAGTACACAGCTCGGGAAGAAAAAAGTAGTGAAGGGAAAGAAATTCAAGATCTGTTATTGGTATTTGAATACATTTATTGTGACAAGAATGCTGTTATAAATATTCATAAGCAAAGACCATCTTTTTTTATCTAGGAATTGTTAAAGTGAAGATCCCAAATTGGAAGGATACATCTTTTGTAAAAGTCTGCCACCGTTCCTGCTTTGAGAACAAGCACCTATTGTTAAATTTCCACTAACAAGAATGGTCACAGCACATGCCACTTGATATAATCCAAACTTTACAGTGCTAGACTCCCCAGCGGGCCGTCCCTCTGCACCACGAGCTCCCTTCCCTCAGCCACACTGCCCTTTGTGGCCAACTCTACGCAGACGGCTCGGGGCAGGGAAGAGCACACAGCTTAATAGCACTAGCTAGTTATTTCTCAAGTCCAGTAGAGGATAGTTGTTACTGCTTGATACTAAGCAGCACTGAGAGCGACTTTAACTGACATTCTTAACTCTCTCAACTCCACCTAAATAGGTAATCTATAGATAATGCAGAAAAAGAGGTTGGGGGAGGGGTACTTTTTCAATATTTTATTGTATTTTCTTAAATATCCTTTCTGGAATTTTCAGAAACAAAACATAAAAAAATTATATACTTTATTACAAATGGTAAACTCAGAGTGCTTCAAATCTCTTATTTACAAACAGCACTGGGCAGGATACCCAAACAAACAAACATGAAATAACTTACAAAGGCATGAAGCTGTTTATTGACAGTAATCAGCTTTCATCAAATTAAAAAAAATACATATGTACATACACAGTTAAGGAAGGCGGGCCGGCAAGAGTTCATGTGCGGCCTCAGCCTCGCTCTCACGAACCTCCCTCCCGCCGCCCCCCAGCCCCGTGCTCTTAAAGAGTACTACAGAAGCCGTCTACAGTCTCTACTGCAGTTGCGCCCCCCTCCCCCCCTTTAATACTGAATGAGATCGAATGTTAGGTCCATGCAGTTCTTGGTCAACGTTAAAGAGAAGTCCGCCGTCTGTCCGCGCGGGGACAGCCCGTCCGCAAAGCGGGGTGGCCCGCCGGCGGCCGCCCCCTGGCTCCACGCCGAAGGCGGGCGGCCGAGTCCTTCCCACTCGTGCACACTGGGGGCGCCGTCAGGACGCAACCCAGCCCAGCTCGGATACCCTTGGCTTTAGTCCTCGGACACTTTTTTTTCTCTCTCGCAACTTGTCAAGTTCTCAAGTCTGTCTCTCCGTGTTATTTTTTCTCTCCGTTGCCCCTCAGCCCCCAACAGTCTCTCCTCAAAACGTTTGCAACTGCTGGGTTAGCATGAGCTGGCACCCACTGTTAACGTGGTTCATGACTTTCTGTTTAAGCTGTGCCACCTGTTCCCTGAGCATGTTGGCCGTGGACGCCAGCTCCGAGTTCTGCGCTTTCAAGGTTTTCACTTTTTCCTCCAGCCGGGCGATCCTCTCCAGCTTCCTTTTCCGGCACTTGGAGGCAGCGATGCGGTTCCTCATGCGCTTTCTCTCCGCCTTGATCCGCTCCTGGGACTCCATGTCGATGGGGGACAGGGGCGGCGTCTCCCCGGGCATCTCGGGCACCGTCTGCGGCTCCTCCTTCAGGGCCTGCAGCCGCGGGTGCTGCACGGGGATCTGCTGCGGCAGGTGGTGCGGCTGCGGCGGCGGCGGCGGCTGGGGCTGCGCGGGGAACGCCAGGCCGGCCGCGCCGTAGGAGGGCGCCCCGCCGCCGCCCAGCGCGCCCGGGCTGAAGTTGCTGAGGTTGGCGTAGACGGGCGGCTCGCTGTGCAGGCTGGCGCTGAAGCCGCCGCCGCCGCCGCCGCCCGCCGCCGAGGCCACCGCGGGAGCCACCATGCCCGCCCCGCTGACCGGCGGCGCCGCCGACGTGACGCTGGGCAGCGTGTTCTGGCTGTGCAGTTCGGCCAGGGCGCGCACGAAGCCCTCGGCGAAGCCCTCCTGCTCGTCGGTCACATTCTTGGGGCACAGGAACTGGGTGGGAGTCGGCGTGGTGGTGATGTGCCCGTTGCTGGACTGGATTATCAGGCGCTCCAGCTCGGGCGACGCCAGCTTGAGCAGCCCCACGTCGGGCGAGGTGAGCAGGTCCGAGTTCTTGGCCCGGAGGTGCGGCTTCAGGCTGCCCACCGGGTCGGCCAGGTTCAGGGTCATGCTCTGCTTGAGGACCTTGGGGTTGCTGTAGCCGTAGGCGCCGCTCTCGGACTGCAGGAACGAGGCGTTGAGCGCATCGTCGTAGAAGGTCGTTTCCATCTTTGCAGTCATAGAACAGTCCGTCGCTTCACGTAGGGCTGCTCCGGGCTGCGCGCAGGAGTCTCGGGGCCGCAACAGCGCGCCGGCGGGGCGGGAGCGCCGCGCCTCCGGCCTCGGCGGGCAAAGTTTCTCCCGGCGCGCGCCCGCGGCCGTGCGCCCCGCCGGCCTCCGGAAAGCGGCGGGCGCTCCCTGCGCGCTCCCCGGGCCCGCGGACGAACTTGCCCGGAGGCAGCCGCGCTCCGGCGGCGCCGGCCCGCGCGCGCCCCGCGGTGGCCGGCCGGCGGCGGGTCTCCGCCGCCCCGACGCCCGTGCCCTCCTCCGCGGCTCGCGCGCCCAAGCTCAGCAGCCGGTGCGCGCGGAGCGGAGCGCGCCCCTCCTCGCTCCTCCCCGCGCCCGCCGTTCGTGACCGCCGCCGCCGCGGCTCCGGCGGAGGGAAGCTTTGCAAAAGTTCGCTCCGAGACCCGGGGCCCCTCGTCCCCTGTCCTCCTGGTCAGGAAAGTTCTCTGCCGCTGCAGCCGCTCTCCGGACTTCCCGGCGACAGTCGCCGCTCTGTCACAGCAGCGCCCGGGCGGCGGGGCTCCCCTCCCGGGGGCGGCTGGAGAAGGGGCTCTCCGGGCGCTCCCCAAAACACCAGCCCGGGAGCCACAGGCGCTAGCTCCGGGCGGCCGGCGAGAAGATGGGAACGAAGGCGAGGCGCGCGGGGCCGACTCCGCCGCCGTCCTGCCCGCCCGCCCGCCTCGCCGAGTCCGCGCACGCCGCCCGCGCCTCGCCGCTCCAGCCACTCAGCGCAACTCTGAGCCCTTCACCAGCCCGAGCTCAACACTTATCTGCTACCAGTCAACCCCTAAAAATAGCCCATGATGTCACCCCAAGGCCTTCCCATTGGCTCGCGTCGCTCTCAGGGGGGCGGGCCCGCCCGTCGCCATGGAGACCCCACCCTAGAAGATTCTTCTCTGGGCCCGCGGAGGCTCACGGGATGAGGTAATGCTCCGCTGCCCTCCCACAGTCGGGCCCTTCTTTCCCCTCCCCCCCGCGGGAGCCCCCCCCCGCGCGTGGCTCCGGCCCGCCCGGTGCATTGTGGGCTGACGTCGTGGGGTTTGACGGGGGACGGCGCCCGCGGCCTCGGGCAGGCGGGCTCGGGGCGGGCTGCTGCGCGGCGGACGGCACTGCCCCCGGGGCCGCGCGGGCCGGCCCCCGCTTCCGGCGGGAGCGGCCTCAGGGCTCGCGGCCCCGGGGTGGGCGCGGGGCGGTTCCCGCTCGGGGCGGGCCGCGTGGAGGCGCGCGGGCGCCTGTCCCTGCCGAGCTCGCGGGCGGCCGCCGCCCCGGCGGGGCGCTCAGGGAATCCGACACTCGGGGAACCCGGGCGCGCCCGCTCCCGCCGCCGCGCGCTCACGCTCGCTCACATTCGCTCACACTCACACGCGCCCCGCTCCCGCCCCGATCCGCTTCCGGGAAGACGGCTCCGAGAGGGCCGCCGCAGCCCCACCGGGCCGGGCTGGGCCGGGCCGGGGCCGGGGCCGGGGAAGGTGGGCGCCGGCCGGCGGCGGGCCCGCGTCCTGCGGCCTCTAGGAAGCGCTAGACCCATGCTGGCGGCCGCTCCGACGCCGCCGCCCCCGCGCCTCTGGGGCCAGAAGTGCGTGGCGGAGAGTCCCGAGGCGGCAGTCGTGGGTTCGGTGCGGCCCGCGCCGCCGCGGGGTGACGGCAGCGAGTCCCGAACTTCCCGGAGCCTCGGGGCCTCTCTGCGGGGGCCGGCGAGACCCGCGTCCCCGCGCTGAGCTAGTAGCATCGCCGCCTCCGGGGCTGGGCGGTGGTCCGGGGCGGCCCCCTCCCCTGCCCCCTCGGAGTTTCCCAGGGCCCCAGTGCAGTGCCAGGCTGTGCGGCTGTGCTTTGGCAGGACCAGGCGTCCCGACTCCCGGGGGAGGAGCGGGTGGGCGTCAGCTCTTGGCTGGGCCTCCGTGGAGGGCTGGGGCTTGGCGCTGGACCTGCAGCGGCTTACCTTCCTAGGTTCTCACGCTGCTTTTCTGCTTCAGAACTTGGGGGATCCACCTTGGACTTGTAACCGCGAGCCTGAAGGTGTTTGTGGCTTTGAGAGTGGAGAGTCGACAGCCCGACAGCAGCCGTGTTAGGGGGATCCTGAGCACTTTTCTCCCCTCCAGGCGCTCACCTCCTTCCCTGTGCGGTTAGGAAGACTGAGCGGCTCCGAGAGCGGCTCTGAGCTGGGGCGGGGGCGGGGGGATACAGTGATGACAAGATGCAGTTCCTTCCCTCAAGGAGGGAACCTTTTCCTCTAGACTTGCCCTGAATCATTTTCTTTTGTAATCAAAAGGAGGTGGTGTTCTTAATAATTTTTATGATAACAGTAATAAAAATACATATCATGTATTAAACACGTACTATCAGCGGGGCATTCGCCTTAGCGATTGATGCCATTTCACCTCACAACCGTCTTGAGCTGCATATATTATTATCTGGGTTTAACATGCGAGGAACTAGGCCCAGAGAGTTGAAGTATCTTGCTCAGGTCACACAGGCAGCTGGAAATTGACCTCTGGTCTGTTACACTCCCTTGTACATTCTCGGCTCCAGAAGACTTTCTTGTAGAGTGTGGTTGTCTGCAGAGGAAATGACACTTAGATGGTCGGATGGAAGGAACGGTCTTGCCTGATCCTCTCTAACTCCTCTCAGAGTGCCTGTATTTAGAAACTTCAGGACTTAAGGTTTGTATAAATCTGTGTCTTTTGCTTAAGGGTTCTGTGTGTTCCTCTCTGCCTTATGTGGTTTAGTAGGCTGATTTCTCCTTATGTTGAGAAATATCATATTTCATCCAAAAAATAACAGATCTGTTCATGTTAACGCCCCTGCCAGGAAGCGGTCCTTGGCTTCCCTGTACAACCAGCAGAGAGTTCAGATGCCTTTGCCTGGGAGAAGGGGCCGGTTGCAGTCCCGCTCCTGCTCTCCAGCCTCAGTTCTCCCCACCAGGCTAAGTCAGGAAAGGCGGGCCTGTGCTGCCCTGACAGCAGCCTTGTGCCTCAGGGGCTACCCCAGGGCACTTTATTTCTTGCTCACGCTGGGTGCCCACAGTGGTCTGCAGGAGACTTCTGCTCACCGTGTTCCCTGGAGGCCTCGCGCTGAAGAGGGCTGCATCCTGGTGCGTGCTTCTCGCTCCTGTCTTGGCTGGGGGGCGAGGAGGCCGCGGATTATTCACTGGCTCTCAGAGCATCCACCGGGAAGTGACACTCTGCACTTTTGCTCCTGCATCACTGGCCAAAGTAAGTCTCGCAGCCACGCCTCACTTTAAACGTCTGTGAGCCAAGTGGCTCGAAGGGAGAGAGCCAGGAATATTTGGGGAACAACACAGAAGACTCTAACACTCCCCCTTTTTGTGTGCCAAGTGTCTGGCTGTCGTCCTCCCACAGGCGAGCTCCCTCATTCGCTCCTCAAGGGAGACAATGCTAGGGAGTCATCTAGGCCCAGTGTATCGTGCAGGTCCGTGTGACACGCAGTTGACTCCACACCTAAAGGCAAGATACCCACCCTGCACGCTCTCCATATGTGACGGTGGGACGAGGACGGGATAATGCAATGGACATACCGTTTGGAAAGTGAAGGAATGGGAGGCCACGGTAGATGCTGGCCCACTGCGCAGACGTGTGGAGGACCCCTACCCAACACCCCCGTTAGACCCTCGTTCTGCTCCCGAGGGTAGCTGCCCTATCCGCTGTTTCCCGAGACCCCTGACTCTGCCCTCTGAGAGCCTTCCTTTTCCACACCTAAAGCAGGCATAGAGGCGTACGTTTTCAAATAAGCTTTTAAAAATCGGGGGAGGGGTTCAGAGTGAGAGTCAGTCTCAAGTACAGTGTCCTTTGGTCGGGTCGGATGTTTTTTCAGTACAACTCTCACAAAGACTAGGCTTCTCTCTCTTTGATTCTAGACCTTCCATGCGCCTATGGCCACAGCCAGTTCTTTTCTAGATGCTCTTCTATGGTTTGCTCTCTTTTTTGCATTTCTTTGTCCTCTTGCTCTCAGACTTGCTGCACCCTCTCGCCCATGCCCTCTCTCCTGACTTGGTTTGAGTGCTTTGGGCTTTGGTGAGAGGGTCTCACTGCCTCCATTTGCACAGCTGTTTTGTCCAGTGGAAAACATATGCTGGTATCATCTTAATTTATCCAGAGGGGTTAACCGTAGGTTTGAGGCTATACACTTCACTTGACCGAGGATGAGTTCTTGCTGAAAACATTTCTTAATTTTATATGTTGCTAGTTGAGATTAGAAACAGTAGCCTCTTCGAGCCCTACGAATCTCTACGTTTACAGATTGTCCCTACTCTCTCTCATTCTTGCCCGCAAACTGGCCAAATCTTCTCTGAGCTCATCTCTTTTTTTGTAATAAGTTTCCAAATACATCCAACAGCCACCGACACATGCCACTAGCATTTTGTTTTGCAGTTTCTTGCTTGAGTTCATTAAGTTCATGACATGCCTTCTAAATTGGCACAGGTGATGTGTTCACCAAATAGATCACCGACCTTTTGGCTTCTGATAACAGTGTTCTTAGCTACTGTCCTGGAAATGGATGCTTACTTTTATTATTTTTGTTGTTACATTAACCATGTCTAGGTGCCAATTTTTATGGTCAGGATAGGCTAGGTTTGCCACCATACCAGATGATCCTAAAATCTCAGTGGCTTAGCAAAAATACTGTATTTCTTGCTCATACTACATGTTCAAGGTCACAGGGGCGCTGCTGAACGGACTCACTCTGAGACCGAGTCTGAAGAAGGTTTCATCTTGATCTATGCTTCCACCACCATCCCAGGCCCTTTGGCAGGGGACAGAAAGCATGGTGAATTCACCTTGGCTTTAAAACCTTCCTCAGAAGTGACATATATTACTTGTGTTTACACATTATTGGTCAAAAACTAGTCACATGTCTGTGTCTTACTTAAAGGGTGCAGGAAAGTGCGATCCCACAATGTGCTGGAAGTCAAGGGCTGGAAATGCACACCTTTGTAGAGGCCCGGTTATGCCCTGGTAGCAATCCGAAAGTCTTATTGGATGACAGCCACAGAATTACTTCTCACTCATACTGCAGGCTCCTTCAGGGTTGGCTGTGTCTCTGCTTCACATAGACGATCTTTGCTCTGGGACCCTTTCTGAAACCTTGCTGATGGTTATCGGGGAGAGAAAAGAGCGTGTGCCGAAAGCTTCTGCTGAGAGCGGTTCCCATGGCCAAGCCTGACGTCAGTGGGGAGGGGCGGCAAGTATTTGCCAACAGTAACATAGTCGCCACACCCTGTACTACGCGTTCCCCCCAGTCCTAGGAGTCCTAGCTACCCTAACCATTTTCCATTCCTCTGGCATTTTCCTGTCCTTCCATTTACTTTTATCCTTAGTCAGAGTGCCACTGTGCAAACTCCTATTCAGCCTTCAAGACCCAGCTTAAATAATTGCTCCCTCTGAAGCTTCCTGTTACCCCATCTGCCACCCTACCCTCAAATAGGTATTATCTTCGTCTCACCACACAGGGTACATACCTGAAGCAGAGCATGTCCATCACGTATTCTTGTAAATGTCTTCTTATGTCCCTCACTCCAAATTCGAGAGCTGTGCCTTATTCATTTTTGTAACTCCAATGCTTAATGGAGTGCCTGGCACATGAAAGGATAGAAGGTGCTCAGTAAATGCTTGTTGATGGATTTTTTAAAAATATCCTTTTCTATAGTGGAATTAAGGGGGCCTTTTAATAGTCAAATAGCAACAGTACCTTGTTTTAATACACAAAAGTTGCAATGTGTCAAACTCCCCCC